AGGGTCTTGCTATGCAGTTCAGGCTGGCCTTGAGCTCACTTTGTAGCTCAGGCTGATTTTGAACTCACAATGATCCTTCTGCCTCAGCCTCCTGATCTCTTAATTTCTATAAGTCTGACATTTCAAGAATATTATATAAATGGAACCACATAGTATGTAACATTTTGATTTTTAAACACAGCATAATTGTGTGGAGACTTATCCAGCCTATTATTTTTCTCAATAATCTGTTCCTTTTATTACTGAGCAGTATTCTCAGGTGTGGATACATCAGTTTTCAGGGCACCTGGGCTATTTGCAGTTTGGGGTTGTTACAAATAAAGCTCCTATAAACATTTGTGCAGGTTTTTGTGTGAATAATGTTTTCATTTCTCTGGATGAAAAGTCCCAGGAGTGGAAGCACTGGGTGGTTACATATTTAGTTTTGCAAAATGGATGTGCCGTTTGACATTCTGGTACAGTGGCCCACGTTTTCTCCAACCTTGCCAGCATTTGGTGGTGTCATTATTTTAAGTCTAGCACTATTCTGATAGGTGGGAAAGGTCTCTGTGGTTTTAATGTGCCTTTCTCTATTGGTAAATGAAGTTAAATACTTTTGCATGTAGTTGTTCACTATTTTTACTTTTTTCCTTTCAGATACTTTGTCCTTTTGGTCCCAGAATTTTTACTTTTTATTGTGCATCAGGGTTGCTAAGTCACTTAGCTGTAGGTTGGGCTCATACTTGCAATCTTCATGCCTCAGCCTTTTTGTCTATTCTCTTTTTGTCTATTTTTGTGTTTTTATTATTGAGTTGCAAGCGTTGTTTATATATTCCAGATACAAGTCTCTCATCAGGTAAATGATCTGCAAGTACTTTATTCCCACTTTGTAGATTATCATTTTGATACTGGGACACTGGGTTGTGTCTCACGGTGTCAAAGAGTGAAACGGCAGACAGAGGCGACAAGTCGCAAGCAAGGAAGTCTTGTCACAAGCAATGACAGGCAAAAGGAGGGAACCCAGAAAGTGGTTATTGGTGAGGCTTCTTTGGTTGCTTTTACAGGACCTGAGAAGGAAGTGTTTTCTCTTTATGGCTCTCCCTTAGGGTGGAGGGTTCCCTGTCCTGTGGGGAAATGATCATTCCCCCAAGGCCCGATAATGAAGGTGATCATACACCGTCCCACTCCCGCTGGTGAAAGCCTGGTTTGGGTGGTTGAAGACATCCGTTAGTTATTTATCACAGAAGGCCTTTTCCCCACAGTTTAGGACTTCCACCCCTTCCTACTCCTTTGTGCCAGGCTACCTTGTTTATCCTGACTCTGTTTTGTGGGCCTGTGTCCTGATTGCCTGTGCCTGATCTACCTCCTGTCTCGACTTCACTTTCTTGATGGTGTCCTTGAAGCATAAAAGTTTTTAATCTTGAAGAGACCTAGTTTATTTTTTTTCTTTGTTGCTGGGCTTTTGATGCCAGATCTAAGGCGCCATTGCCTAATCCAAGGTCATCAACGTTTTCTTCTAAGACTTAGGTAGTTTTAGCTCTTACATTTGAGTCTTTGATCCATTTTGAGTTAATTTTTTTGTTGGCTTTCTGAGGCAAGAGCTTGCTATGGAGTTCAGGCTGGTCTTGAATTCACTATGTAGCCCAGGGTACCTGAACTCTGCCACACGCACCCACACATGGGTACCCTGATGGCCAAGGGAGGCAACATTCATATTTGGGCTGGGGTCCGGGGAGGAGCTATGAGAACACTGGCTATTGCAGTCACCCTGAGCTAGGGCGAGCGTCAGTAGTATAGCATGTGCTCAGTATGTGTGAGGTCCTGGGTTCAATCCTTAGCACCCCCAAAGTCATTACTGAGACTAATGAGAGTAACCATCTCCACATGCATTATGATGCCAAATCCAAAATGGCAGTTATTGACGGGTTTTTAGGAAATTCAAAGCTCACAGATTCTTTGCTTTATTTATTTATTTATTTGTTTGTTTATTTATTTATTTATTTTTTGGTACCAAGAATCGAACTCATGACCTCAGGCTTACCAGGCAAGTGCTTATGTCGCTGAGCTACATCCCTGGCCCTCAGAACTCACAGATTCTTGAGAAAGACCCAGGCCCCACAGAGACTCAGGGGGCCTCTCCACAGTGTCACCCTCCCAGCGTGGCCAGTGCAGGCACAAGGGCCTGCCACTCCCTGTGCAACCGCCCCTCAAGAGCTCCCCAGGGGTTTCCTGAGAGTCAGAGCCACAGCTATTGTCTGGGAGCCGACTCCGGCCTCTCCCTGTGGCCAGTTACCACCCCAGGTGTTGGTTGGTTCCACGTCCCCACTTTCACCTCCCCTGGCCCCCTGTCTGGGCCTTGCAGGACATCTTTGCATGCCCATGGGTGTATAGAGGTAAATGGAGGCACAGGGAGATGGCACAGACCCAAGCTTGCTAGCAGTAGTGGTCCCTGGGGTGGTCCCTCCTGGGGTCCCTCAGCAGAACTTCCTGGGCAGATGGGGTTGAAGGCAGCATCAATACCCTCATGCAGGCATTGGGAGGAAGGTGCCACTGGCAGGTCCTTGTTTCTGGAAAGCGGCACAGGCTGGGGGTATAGCTCAGCTGCACAACACCTGCCTAGCAAGCATGAGGTTGTGAGTTTGATTCCTGGTACAAAAAGAAAAAACAAAAAGAGAGAGAAAGAAATGGAAACTGGTACAGATAGGACAGCATAGGAGATTAGGGAACACATTGGATTTCCACCACATGTGGACACTTGTCATTTTGCTCTTTATCCCTGTGACTGAGGTCCTCCTGTGCCTGCTCTCAGCCGCCCTAGAGTCACTAGTCCTCCTCTGGTGCAGGCTCGTTCATCCAGGGTCCGGGAGGCTGTGGGAACTTGGGTGACCAAGCACAAAGGGTTAGGGATGTGAGTGTCTAGACAGAAGCCCTTCTGTCCTGTGACAGGGAGTGGCAGAGGGGTCCAAGATACCCACCTGCTTTCCTTCTGCCTTGGCCCAACCAGCCACCTGTGCCAAGGTCTCCCTACCTCAGTTTACCCTTGAGGCAGTAGGCAAAGCTCCGAGGGCTAGGAGCATCCCTGTGTTCCCCATGTCTTTTCTGGGGAGCTGGTGGGAGCTTGCTTCAGTTGGGCTCTGGAATCATGTTCCTGTCACTATTTGGGAAGCTGAGATAGGAAGACCACAAGTTTGAACCCAGCCTGGGCAATTTAGTGAAACCCTGTCTCGAAATAAAATTTAAAAGGGGCTGCAGATGTAGCTCAGCACTTGCCTAGCACTCGTGAGGCCCTGGGTTTAATCCCCAGTAAAGGGTGGGGCAGGAGAGATGCCTTTAAGTCTGAAGCGAGAAACAGCTTCATGATCTTAATGGTGACAGGACTGTTTCGTCCCATTGCTGGGATCTCTGCCAGCTCTGCTGACACAAGTCTGGAATGGTGACACCTCAGAGGCTTTCACATGTCTGGCAGACACACGTAAACATGTACCTTGGCACCCTGGCATAACCCTGGGCCTCCCTCATTTGGGAATCATGGAGCCAAATCCCAGGACTGGGAGCCTAGACAGCAGGCTTCACTTCTCACGGTTCTGAGGCTGTCAGGCCCAGGCCAAGGTGATTCTTCTGGCTTCCGGAAGGTCGGCTGCTTGCTGCACCCAGGGTGGTAGGGAGAGAGTGTCCTTTCACGTCTTATAAGGTGCCACCCTGTTGGGTCAGCCCCCACCCCCAGCATCATTAGACTTGAACTAGCTCCTCAGAATGCAGCCTACAAAAACAGTCCGCCTTGGGGGTTAGAGCTTTGAGCTGTGAATTTGGGGGCACGGGCATGATTCAGTCCCAAGCGCCCATCTTGGCCTACCTAGCGTTTGCCACCTGGTTTAAACACACCCTGACACTACCAGTCATTGTCACAAGCACACCTTGACCAACTGAACCCAAACATAATGGAGTAGGTGGTATCAGCGCTGGGTTCACGGGCCCAGAGACAGAAATGAGAGGGAACCCAGAGGAAATTTAGGCACAGGCAGGACTTGTTTTGGGGATTTCTGTTCATATCAGAATGGAGCTGCAGCTCTAAAAAAGGGAAGCAGATGCCAGCACAGGCTCCAAAGGAAAGGGGTAGCTGATACAAGAAAGCTTCCGGCCTAAAGTTCCCATCCGGGACTTCCATGCAAATGAGGGTTTCAAGGGTGCAGAGAGCTCTTGTCCTGATTGGTCACTGCTGAGCCAGTGGCAGGCAGCTCATTGGTCAGCCTTGACAGCCACGAGGTAGGTTTCAGGAGGCTGAGCCTGGCCTGCTCCTATTGGTGTACGAGTGGGGTGCATCAAATTCTAACATATTTTTCCATCTTTTAAAGATCATTCCCCGGTTATTGTTCAAAAGACCTCTAGCTGTCCTGAATGAAACTGTAGGTCAAACCGACCAGCCGCTGGCTCAGCGCAGGGCATCAGGGTGTGGCTGGTGGGATCTTGTGTCCTGGCCTGCAGTGGCCCCAGTGCGACACACCCCATGGCCTCCCGAGATGCTGTGGGACATCTCAGTCTGTTTCCCCTAAAAGTGAACCGTGAGAGGTGCAGGACCCCGGGGAGTCCAGGAGGAAAGGGGCTGGGTACGGAACAGGAAGAGGTGGGAACCTAGTGAACTCTGCCCACGCAGTGGGTCTGGCTAGGGTGTCTTGGGAACCGGGCAGGGGGAGGGGAAAGCAGGCAGGGATGTGCAGCTGTCACGCAAGCTGTCCCTGCTCCAACCATGGCCTCGGCACCTCCACCATGCCTGCCGCGTCCTGACTTTTCCTAAGCTGCCGGTATTTGGTTTCTGAAATTTGCACACAAATGGTTCTTCCTGAAGTGGAGACAGACTCCAGCTCCCTGGGCTGCCACCCTCAGCAGCTTCTGCTCATGGGGAACCTGAATGGCAAAGACTTGAGACCTCTGAGGGGTGGTGGGTTTTGGTGACATGGCTGACTGGACCCAAGACATGATGGCCAGACCCAGCGCCTGCAAGATGAAAGCGACCAACTCAATACTTTTTACTATACAAACGGTTTTATTTGCCCGTGGCCATTGAGTAAATATTGAACAGTGACCATCCCAGACAGCATCCAGGTACAAAAGGAGCAAGGAATGGTGGCTTTTAGGGATATCAGGGCAACTAGAAAGTGACAGTAAACAATAATGAAGCTGGCATTTTATCTTTGGTGAGTTCCATACCCCCAAGAAATGGAAAAAAGTTGATACAAAAACAGTAAGCTCTACCATCAGTAGGACAAGTCCCTTTCATGTAATAATTTATTTCATTTCCAAGTGACAGCAGGCACAGGCAGTTTCAAGCACTATCCCCTTCCCCTTGTGTCAGGAGAGCCTGCCACCAGATCCCTCCCTGGGTGGGGAAATGCCAGAGAACACAGCTTTCTTTGGGGAAATATTTCCTTTCAAACCAAGCACCTTGATTTGGCCTTGCAGCCTCTTCTTGGGAAATAGCCCCCACAATGCAAATGCCTTTCCAGGTAGAGGCCTTGGCAGCCCTGCCAGGGCCTGGCCCCCACCTAGAGTGGAACATGGGGAGCAGATGCACATGGCAGACCCCTGGGAGGGAGTCTTGTCACTGCCCTTGAGATGATGGGGTAGTTGCCCCCTGCTTTTGACAGGAGCCGAGAGGAGAGTCCGTGGATGTGACACCCCCGCCCTTCAGTGAAGGTCTCCTCAGAGAGACAGGTGGCTGCTGGTCCTTAGGAAGTGGGTCTTGGTCGTCAGAGCAGTTGTACTGAGCTGGGCAGGTCTCAGGGTTTTGGCCGGGGATCAGCAGACTGGGCCACCCCTACCCTATCCTCTACCTTCTGTCCCCAGGTCTTACTGTACAGGGATTTTGTAGAGCCAATCACTTATTTTCCCCACAAATCTCCCCTCTGAGTTGGTTCTAAGCCATTTTTTCCTTGGCTCCCAATGCGGGCGGGTGGAGGAAAGGGAGGAGAAATGGGAGCCCTTGTCCCCAGGACAGGAGGGGAGAGCAGGGCTGGAGCAGGATCCAGGGCAGAGGCCTGAAAGGAGGTATAGGCCTGTGCAAGGGCTTTTGAGCTGAGACATCTCCAGGGACTTTCTGATTTTAAGAAAATAAGAGTGAACATGCCCAAATCTATGGGGGACCTTGTTCCTGAGGCAGAATCCCCAACAGGTATGGCAGCAGTGGAGCTGGGATTCTCAGTGGCGAGGGCTTCCGAGTTAACTTTCTAGAAGAGCTGCGCTCATGGTCAGAGCATGGTCCCCTTTCTCGTATCATCACTGTAGGCGAAAATGTCCAGGGAAATGTGCCGCAGGGGTCTTGTCGCTCTTTGAGAAGGATGGTCTGTTAATACCACAGATGCTTCGGTGGTCATCTCTTTATCATCCACGTGGCAAGGGTTGAAGCTTGCTTGAGGGGGGTCAGTCACCCGGGCCTTGGGGGAGCGATTCTGATTGGGTGCGGCTGGATGTTTCAGTGGTAATAGATGCTGAAGGCGTGCAGAATGTAGAGCAGGGTGGTGATGAAGGCAAAGAACTAGAAGACAGGGAAGTGTCAGGAAGAGGCAGCTCCAGTGCCTGCCACACCCAAGGACCACTGTGGCCCAGGAGGCCATGGGTCCTGACCCTGCCTCAGTGCCCTTGCCTGGGCGGAACGTGTAACCACTGGTCAGCTAGCTCCTGGAAACCCTCCCTCCCTGGCATGCCTAGGGCCATCTTCTTCTGGGGTCCTGCTGGGACCACATGGTCTCCATCTCTACCTGCACACCGGGGCTCCTCCAGCGGCTCATAAGGTCAGCTCTCTTCACTCCCTGCCGGGTGCTCTCTCCCCTGCACCCCTCTGCTCTGCACCTCTGGGCTCTGTCTCTCACGGGGCGCCGCTGGCCCAGGACTCTGCCCTGAGCACCTGCCTGTGGATGTCTCCAGCCCCTCTCAAGCTCCTAATGGTCCAGACCTGTCTAATCTGCTCTGAGAGGAAACCATGATTGTGTTTAAAGCCTTCTTAACACTCTACCATGGTGTCCTCCTCTCTCAGGGCAGAGGCCACGACCTCAGGACGCCAACCGGTCCTGCCACCACTGCAGCCTCCTGCTACCCCAGCTGTCCACTCACACCCTGTTCTCACTCACTCACTCACTCACTCAACACCTATCTTTTAAGCTCCTGCTGTGCTCTGAGAATGGCATGATAGAACAGTGGACGAGGCTTTAAAAAATTCCCACCTTAGAGTTTACATTGTAGCAGCAGCAGCAGCAAATAAGCAAGGTACACAAGTGTCAGACAGTGGATGAGGTGGAGACAAGGCTATTTCCTCCCAGGATGCCATGTGAGCCACCAGGATGACTCAAGTTCCTTGACTCATGCCAGGCATGGGCACCGGCCAAGCCGTAGTGGTGAGTCTTTCTTTGGAAGTTTCCTCAAGGACCAAGAAGGTCAGGCCCTTCAGAGGGCTCTGTCACAGTGAGCTTCCCGCCACTTGAGGGCGCCATCCCACAGCGGGAGAAAGGGGGAGACGCAGGCCCAGGAAGGCCCCAAAGGGACTAAGGCCTGGGGGTTCCTGTTCTGCTCATAATTTGGCAGATCCATCACGCCTTCAGGGTGTGACAGAAGGCAAGATGTGGCACTAGGGCTTGGGCACGTATGTTCACACACTCGCACATGCGCATGTACACACCTTCTCCCTGCTCTACGCTCCTGCAGCCTTAAGGATGAGGATCATCTGAATTGCCTGGGGAGAATGAAACTTCATGCACCAGGGCACCCTAGCGAGGGCAGTCACGTCCCTGAGTGCAGCTTGAACACCTCCATGCTAGCAGATGCCCAGGCCACTCACCGAGGCTGCGGTGTTGACGTAGTAGTTTTTCAGGTTCTGTGACTCGGACATGATTGTCTCGTGAACTTGTAGGACGGCTGCGCTCATGTACAGGATGCTGGTGGTCCCGTGGTACAAGCTGTCCTGGAGACGCAAGCAGAGGCCAGGGCCAACGTCACTTGGGTGAGCACTGTCCTCTCTCGCTGCTCAGCAGGACAGTGAGAAAAAGAGGCAAGCCCAGTCCCCAACTCCTGCCTTTATTTATGTAGCAAACAATAATAAATAATCATGTCAGCCAGGCATGATAGTGTTCACCTGTCATCCCAGCACTCTGGTAGGCTGAAGCAGGCGTATCTCAAGTTTGAGCCTAGCCTGGCAACTCGGGAACTTAGTGAGACCCCGTGTCATATAAAAGGAGTGGTGGTGGCTGGGGAAGTAGCTCAGTGTGAAGGCTCCGGATACCCCAGGATCACACATGCACACAAAATCAATTCCAGCTAGTATTCATTGGATGCTTGTTCTATGCCAAGCTCTGTGCAAACCCCTTTCCTCATTTAGCCTTATCAACTATGAGGCAGGTTCTACTGTCCTGATTATTGGTTTCCTTTGAAAGGAACGGAAGCTCATAGTTAAGACCAGTGACTAAATGCTTAAGCCAGGACCTGAGCCCAGACCTCATGAGCTCCAAGCCCACATGCCTAACCACTACCATTATGGAGACCTGCTGTGTGCGGGGCACTGCCCTAGCCATACACAAGCCCTGCTTATTTTCACAACTAACTTCAGAGGGCTGTGCGTTGGTGAATCTTGAGTGTCAGTGTGACTGGATGAAGAGACTCCTGGAGCTGTCATTTGACCACGGGGCTGCCGTACTGACTGCTGTGCGGAGGCGGGCACAGTTGGAAGAGGAGAGTCATAGGGCAGATTTCGAGGGTTTAATCTCTTGTTGAGGCGTTTCCCCTGTGGGCTGCTCCTGACTGCCACCAAGGAGAAGCGTTACTCCATCACATGGTCCGCCATGATGTTTCTGGGCCTGGCTGACTGTGGGTGGAACCAAAATGCAGCCTGTCTTCTAAGTTGTGGGTGTTGGGAATTTCTGTCTAAGGGACAAGCAAGCTGACAAGCAATATAGTCCGCTTGTATTGTTCTCAGTTTATGATGAGGAAATGGAGACACAATGAACACCCAAAGAGTTAACAAGGGCCAGAGATATAGCTCAGTGGCACAGCGCCTGCCTTGCAAGTGTGAGGTCATGAGTTTGATTCCCAGTACTACCACCCCCCCCAAAAAAAATCAAAACAAACAAAACAAACCCAAATAGTTAACAAGATGATGTGACAACATGAAGAAAATTAATGCTATTATATTAAATGAAGGCATCGCTTCCAAGACTGTTTACTGGGAATGTATATACATTTCCATAAGATTCATGTGGCATATGGAAGAGCGAGCCTATCACAGTGATTGGTACAAGTCCTTAAACCAGAATGATTTTCTTTGCTACTAGCATTTTCTTCAGTGTTGCTCCATTGATTTGTTTTATCATGAATAAAATTTAGCAAAGACTTATCAGAATATTCTGTCTTGTTATTTAAGAGGTGGGGTCTCACTGTGTTGCCCAGCCTACCTCTGAACTCCTGGATTCAAGCAATCCTCCTGCCTCAGCCTCCCAAGTAGCTAGGACTACAAGCGCATGACATGATACCACACCTGGCTCCAGAGTATACTAAAATCAAAAGACTTCATCTCACAGGGATGAAGCCTGCGAGGGTATCCAATGCCAGGTCTCTGGTTCTCCCTCCCCACGCAGCTGGGCCTGTTGTCCTTCAATACCTAGGATAGCAGTCTAGGGGGAACCACTCCTCAGGTTCTTACCAGGACTCTCCAGGACTCAAATTTTTTGTAAAATCCAAGCAAGTAAGACAAAAAGAACATCAGCGAGATGAGGAAGGAGGTCAGGGAGACGTACATCACCCATCCCTGCAGCAACGGGGTTGCCACCTGTGTGGCAGCTACGAGGACCCAGACCCAGAACCCGAATATCTGTAAGAGAAAAAGCACAAAAGAAGAGGGTTAGTTTGCGGGTGTGGGGCATGTTTTCCCTTTGCAAGTGTCCCTTTTTCTCCTCTGTTGTGTTTTAAAGCTCAGATGAAGTTAGGAGGAACTAAGAGGGCAGTGGGGAAGGAAGGCTGGTCGCTCTGAGTCAGCCCAGGTCCTGCTTGAAAGTCCAAGGGCTTCACACAAAGGCTGTGAAAGGAAGGTCTCTGAGCCAAGTGTGGCTGTATCATCTTAGTCCAACCAGTATTGGTTTGGATAGTTCTTTTTTTAAAAACCTGAATAAGTTGCCAATGCTTAAAATAGGATTTTTCACATGAAAAAAAAAAAAATCCAGATTTGGGGTATTTCTTGAGAAATGTATGGTTCTGAACACAGTATACCTATTTCGCAGGCCAGTGTAGGCTCGCTGAGGTGTAATGGTCTCGCTGGAAAGGAGCCGCAGTCCTCAGCGGACCGCATGCCCCTCCATATCCCTGCCACCCCCATGCCTTCCCTGGCATACTTCCTGTTGCTCACTCACAATGTGGAAGAGTCCGCTCTTTCCCTCACCCCTTTACCTGTGAGTGTCTGAGCGCCCTCAGGCACTTGCTTTGGAACCTCGAGATCATAGTACTGATGCTCTGGAGCCAGTTACCAGTTGGGCAATATGGTTCCTGTTTAACCACCTTTTGACTCTTTTTAGTGATTTATTCTATGCTTGGTGGAGAAGCCAAACTTTCCCATTCTTTCCGGGCTCTGCCTTGGCTGTTATGCTGGGCTCGCTCCTGTGGTGGTGAGTGCTGGGACAGAACCAAATAGTAGTACCAGATGGCATCCAGTTAGAGGACTGGAGGGCAGAGTCCACATGAACACCACGTGGTTTTGCTGTTGGTTCATCTCCAACTTTCTGAGCTGCTGGCCTTCCGAGAGCCTCCTTCAGATGACATTGCAGCTTCCTCAGTTCTCTCTGTACTCACTCCTGTTAAAGCTGTGCTTTTCAAGCACCATATTGGTTGGTGATTTCAAGAACTCACCTCCACCCATTTCTCCCACATACCTGTTCAGTGGGTGTCTCTTCTTGGAAGTCCCTCTGCAGAGAATGGCTGAACTTGTATGGCCCTGAGACTGTCTCATTAAATTTTGCATGCTAGGTGCCTCCTTTGCTTCACCCCAGGCCTGTACCTGCCCTTCAGTCTCTTCAAATTGTACAAGACCTGAACTCTTTTGCCGCTCCCAAATTCCTTCAGGACCCACCCTCCTCCACCTATGCTTAGAATGACTCATCAGTGAGTGAGAGAGAAATAAGATTAAGCATGGAGGTACATAGGATTCTGAAGACAATAATAATGTTCTATTTCTTATACTTCACAGAGGGCACAGAAATTTATCTTTTATAAAGCAATCAAAGGATTTTGAAATAGAAGAAAAGCCTGTGAGACCACTAAAGAGTTGTCATAATGGTGGGGAGCAGGGGATGGCTGGGACCCAAAGGTGACTCCTGAATTTGTGGTCTGAGGAATCACTTCACCATATTTAAAAACTTTCTATAAAGCTACAGCAATCCAAAGAGTTGCAAGTGCTGGGACTCATACTTCCGCACATTTCTCAGGAGACAGGTTACCCATCCTCTTGACAGCTTAACTTCTTTACTAGTTCTGTTGCCTTTCCACATTTTTTTTTTTAATAAGTTTGTCAATATACACACTGTCTCTCTACTGGAACTTTTACTGTGTTAAATGTATAGTTCAGTTGGGGGAGGATTGGCATCTTCATTATATTCAGGCTTCTGATCTGTGAACATGGTATGCCTATCCAGTTATGAAGACTTTTTTTGGTATCATTTATCAATGTTTTATAATTTTTTTAGCATATGTAGCTGTACACATTTGTCTTTAATATTTAGACTTAAATATTTCATTTGGGAGAAACTACTTGTAAGTAGTATTTTCAAAAAATCATTTCCTAATTGTTTGTTGCTGTTAGATACAATTGAATTAATTTTTAATGTATTGAAACTACGTCCTGCAATATGTTAAACTTATTAGTTGAGGGTTTCTGTTGTAGCTTGGTAGGTTTTCTTTCGGGGGTTTAATGTGTCTCATTTGATTCTAACTTAGTGGTTAATAATGAGATAAAGCATACTTGTGTATATTTTGTGGCTACTTATATATCCTCCTTTTGTAAATTTTTAATTGTTTCTTTGGTTATATATTTTCATAAGTTTGTCTTTTACTTATTTATTCATGTGAATCCTTTCCAAGAGTGTGAATACCATTGAGTATTATATATGTTGCAGATATATTGTTAGCAGGTGTCTCACATTTTTATGGTAGCTTTTGAAAAACTAAGTCCTTGATTTTAATGTTGTTGAATATATCAATATTTTCCCTTATAGAGCATGCTTTTTATCAAGTTAAAAAAATTCTTCCTACTTTGGGTCACAAAGATATTCTTGCATCGCAGACTTTCCTTTTGGAGTCATTTTATTTTTCCTTGAAGTACCCCTTAGTGACCTCTTTAGTGAAGGCAGATTGGTAGCAGTCAGTCTGATTTGTTAGAACATGTTCTTAATTTTACCCTGAAAATTATTTTCTCTCAGCACTTCCAAGATGTAGTCTTACCACTGTCTATATTTTCCCATATAATTCCACTGCCTTTTGACTCCCATTGTTGCTATTGAGAGGTCAGCTGTCAGGTGAACTGCTGCTGCTTTGTAAGAATCTATCCTTGGTATCTCGTCACTTTTAGGGTATTCTCTCTGTCTTTGGTGTTCTACAGTTTGTGCACTAGTGATGCTACATGTTGAGATGTGGATATCTTTTTTTCTACTCCTGCTTGGTATTTATTTTATTATATTCAGTATCTGAAAATTCTATTACCTTGGTCATGATGTTTGATTCTGTAGCTTATGGCTTTTATTAATTTTTATTCTTCTTCATTTGTTTCCTCCTATATTTGGTGAATTCTGGTTGGAAGCTCATACCTGTGGAGGCAGCTCAGTTCTAAATGATGCTGTTAGCAAACCTCTGGACCACTTACTTCTGTCTAGTTCAGTTGCATTATACAAAATATTCAGGTTCTGATTTTTAGAACATATCCCTGGCTCTCTAGATTCAGAGTTTTTAGTTTACAACACACACACACACACACCACACACACACACACACACACACACACACACACACGTGCGCGCGCGCACACACACACCATTCTATTCCTTATCAGACTTCTGATGTTTTCTTGAGGAAGAAAAACACTTACACATTTCTGGAGAATTCTTGGGCGCTTAGGAAAAAAGAGGAAGAGGTGGTGAGAAGCCAGAACAAAATAAGAATTTGACCACAAAACAGAGATTCCTAGGCAAGAAGTACAAATACAGCTCCCTTGAGACCAGGAAACACATCCAGAATCCTGGATGGTTCTTAAAGCAGTAGTTCAGGAAGCAAATTTTCTCAAGCCTTAATAATCAATCTCCAAATGAATTCGCAGGTCCTAGGCTGGGTCTGGGGCTGCCTGGGAGTGAGTAGGGCCAGCTTGTTCTGAGGAGGGGCTGCTGGGAATGGGAGACCTGCCCTCTGATAACTATTCCAACTAGGTTCTTGCACATTAATCCCAGTGAATGGGGCTGCTGATGCTGACACTGCAGAGGGATGCCAGGGCTCAGTTTTGAGGATCCTGCCAAGTATCTTCTTCACCAAGATACATGAAGTGCACATGTCTAATACCCAGACAATGCCAGTTATTAGTGGGAATGCCATTTAGGGCTTGTAAAACTAGTGACTGCACCAGGATTTGTAAACTTTACACCCACATGCAATCTCTAAAGTCTGTGCCATTCACCACTGTATTCCTGGTGCCCAGCACAGGGCCTGGAAAAAGAAGAGGGGTGTTAAAGTGTCTACTTTTGAATGAATCCATAATAACATCAGCACCATCTCATATTCACCAGATACTTTACAGCTTATAAATGCACTCATTCAGACTCCTTACTTAGTGCAGCTACAATTCTAATTCCCTTAGAAAGACGAGAGACCTGCCACTTGATCCCTTCTACTATGTACTGCCAGGTCTCCTGTGCCAGGCTTGGGGTCAGCCAGGGTGCCTCCATCCCTCTGTACTTGTAGTACCTGAAGAGGAGTTCCTGTCCCTTTCCTGCCATCACAGGATTTCTTGTCCAGATGCTGTCACATGTACATTATTCATTGTCTAAATTTTATCTTCAGCAGTCTGTGATGAGGGGGCTGAGGCCTGAGGGTGCTGGGATCCTGTTTCTACCCTGTGCCCTTACACAGCCAATTTTGTAATTGATCCAAATTGTAAATGGGAATCTTTTAAAATGGCTCTCTTGCTGCATCATGAAAGTTATGCAGGGGGATGTTACTTTTGATTTCTACACCTGTCCACTTTCTAAGCAGGAGAAGGGACTAGGGCCAGGGACTAATTCCAGGTGAATTAAAATCCAGAGGAGGAGGCACCAAGATGGCAGAGTGGTAAGCAGCAGAGAAAGAGCCTCTCTGAGTGTTGCTGTCCAGACTCTGGAATATAGCAGTGTGAGGAAGACAAGAGGGAGGGAAGTGGGTCCCCTGGACCCAGAAAGGAACTGAAGCATGAATTGAAGCCCACAGAGAAAGTGAAGGGAGAAACTTCAACAAAGAGGAAGGAGGTAGCTGGCAGTGCCTTCTCCCTGAGATGAGACTCACTGCACGAGAGGAGTGATTAAAACCTGTGGACACATGGTGACTACTGGTGACCCCAGAGGTCTCCATACAGAGACACAGCAGCAGAGGGGAGCAGTTGGTATGAAGTACTGCACTAGCTGGCAGTGAATGCTGAGGGCTCAGTCATCACACCTGAGAAAGTGATTGGCCAGGAGCCATCTTGGAGAGGGCCCAGCTGAGCTCAGAACTCAGAGCAGCTATGGGCTCCATCTAGTGGCTCCCAGCTGGGCTCAGGCCCAAGGAAGGTGTGCTGATGGCTGCAGGCTGAACAAGTCTAGTTTCTGCTGG